CCTGTCTCACCTGTCCTACCTGTCTCACCTGTCCTACCTGTCTCACCTGTCCTACATGTCCTACCTGCCCCACCCGTTTCACCTGTCCTACCTGTCTCACCTGTCATACCTGTCATACCTGTCATACCTGTCTCACCTGTCTCACCTGTCCCACCTGTCTCACCTGTCCTACCTGTCTCACCTGTCCTACATGTCCTACCTGCCCCACCCGTTTCACCTGTCCTACCTGTCTCACCTGTCATACCTGTCTCACCTGTCTCACCTGTCCCACCTGTCTCACCTGTCCTACCTGTCTCACCTGTCCTACATGTCCTACCTGCCCCACCTGTTTCACCTGTCCTACCTGTCTCACCTGTCCTACCTGTCTCACCTGTCCTATCTGCCCCACCTGTCCCACCTGTCCTACCTGTCCCACCTGTCTCACCTGTCCTATCTGCCCCACCTGTCCCACCTGTCCTACCTGTCCCACCTGTCCCACCTGTCCCACCTGTCCCACCTGTCTCACCTGTCCTACCTGTCATCTGTCCTACCTGTCTCACCTGTCCTACCTGTCCCACCTGTCCTACCTGTCCCACCTGTCCTACCTGTCCCACCTGTCCTATCTGCCCCACCTGTCTCACCTGCCCCACCTGTCCCACCTGTCTCACCTGTCCTACCTGTCATCTGTCCTACCTGTCATCTGTCCTACCTGTCATCTGTCCCACCTGTCTCACCTGTCCTACCTGTCATCTGTCCCACCTGTCCTATCTGCCCCACCTATCCCACCTGCCCCACCTGTCCCACCTGTCTCACCTGTCCCTCCTGTCCTACCTGTCCCACCTGTCCTACCTGTCTCACCTGTCCACAGGTGTCCAGGTTCTGTCCTGAGGTGGAGGTGCGGGCCCTGGTGGAGGGTCAGTTTCTGTCCAGGAGGCTTCACGCTGAGAGACTGGGTTACTGCATCAGTAGGACCAAGTTTGATTTTACTGTTTGTTTGGTTTCTCCTGAACATTCATGTCAATAAAAACTTTTATTRTGAAAGATCAGAGATACTAACTGCCAAAAACCAGTTTCATGCTGACAGAGACAGAAACATGGAGTTTAGTTTAATTAAAGTAAACTTTGTAGCAGCAGGTGATGAATCAGCTGCTCTGTCACTTTTAGTTTCAGGAAGCAGAGTTTTAGCTACTGGAGGAGCTTCAGCTAACAAAGATATTTTACAGGTCAGTTCTTCATGTGACCTGTCTGATTCTGCTGCTTTCAATAAAGTTTGTCTTCAGCTGGTCCTGCTTCTGGTCCTGCTTCTGGTCCTGCTTCTGATCCTGGTTTCAGGTCCTGGTTTCAGGTTCTGCTTCTGGTCCTGGTTTCAGGTTCTGTCTGACATCTTCAGTGCTCCAGTTTACTCCTTAGACCTGTCCAATTCAGCCTGCCTGGGGTCAGCCTACAGAGCCCTGCACGGTAATACTGTAGTACTACTACTACTACTGCTACTACCTATAGTACTACAGAGCCCTGCACGGTAATACTGTAGTACTATTACTACTACTACTGCTACTGCTACTACTACTACCTACAGAGCCCTGCATNCAGTACTACTACAACCACTACTACTTATAGTATTACAGAGCCTTGTACGGTAATACTGTACTACTACTACTACTACCTATAGTACTACAGAGCCATGTACGGTAATACTGTAGTACTACTACTACTACTACTACCTATAGTACTACAGAGCCCTGCACAGTAATACTGCAGTACAACTATTCCTAATCATAGTACTACTGATACACAGTACCACTGGTTGTACTGATACTGAACAGTTCCTGCTGACTGGTTCAGAATAAGCTTTTCTCAAAAGGAATGTGATTGGTCAGTGGTGCTGAAAGCTGCTCTCTGATTGGTTGTTCTCAGGTTTGGTGGCAGAGTCTGGTGTCTCCTTCTACGATGTGGTGAAAAAAGGTCCAGAACCTCAGCTGGTCTGCACCCCCCAGCCCTCAGCTGAACAGGTACCAGCTGGTCTTTTGTTTACCTGTGAGGACCGTTTGGACCTGCAGACACCTGTTTAAAAAGACCTGAGAGGTCTCAGACTGATGACCAGGGGGCGGAGCTTCTGTTAGGGTAGTCACATGTCAGACTTCACAGGCAGACACAAACATCAGGTCTTCTTCTCCTTCAGGTGTACGACCAGATGTTGAAGCGCTTCTCACAGCTGGAAGAGAGAGTCCTGCAGAGCAGTCACACCTGAGCAGCAGCCGACCAATCAGAAGAGCCGACCAATCAGAYGAYCCGACCAATCAGAGGAYCCGACCAATCAGAGGAGCCGACCAATCAGAGGAYCCGACCAATCAGAGGAGCCGACCAATCAGAGGAYCCGACCAATCAGAGGAYCCGACCAATCAGAGGASCCGACCAATCAGAGGAYCCGACCAATCAGAGGAYCCGACCAATCAGAGGAGCCGACCAATCAGAGGAGCCGACCAATCAGAYGAGCCGACCAATCAGAGGAGCGGACCAGAGGTTCTGGTTCTTTGCAGACCAGATCAGAACTTTCTGCAGGTTCTGCTTCTCTGATTTAAAAGCAGACCTGAACAGATATTCTCTGTTTTTCTTTAACTGAACCAGAACTTGTTTGTTTTTATTGGTTCTGGTTCTGACTGTTTCACTGTCAAACCTACAGAACCTGCAGGTCCAACTGAGCCCAGGTTCTGGTTCTGGTTTCTGGTAAAGTCTGATCACTTCATTAAACTGATGCAATAAAAACAGGGGCTGCTGTGTTTTTCTAAAGAACCTCAGAACCAGAACCGGTCGGGTCGGGTCGGGTCAGAACACATTCTGGATGAGTTTGTTCTTCCAGGTTCAGATTTTCTTCAGAAACCATCGAGATTAAGAATAAACGACTTCCTGTTCAGACTATCACAATAAAAGCACAGAACTGCAGTCGGTCTGCAGAGAAGCTCCAGCCTGAGGGATCTCTGCAGCCTGGAGSTTCTGATGGTTCTGCTTTGGAAGTTTTATTTACAGTCTGATCTAAACTCTGAATAATAAATATTTGTGATGACGTCATCAAACATCCCGGTCCGGTTCTGCTCCAGAATGACGGAACCTGCAGAACCTCAGCTGCAGACTGGAGTCCTGTGAGCAGAACTGAACCATGTGGTCCTGGACCAGCAAACGGCTCGGTTCTGGTTCTGATCTGTGGTTCTGTCTGGCTTGACCCCCCTGAGAGGTTCTGTTGGACCTTCAGATGTTTAACTTCCTGGTTCTGCAGGGTTCTGGTTCTGAGGATCAGGCTCGTATTTTATRTTGAAAGCAGAAGTCAGTGTTCCTGAGGGGCGGAGCCTCTGCTGCTTGACTCCTCCCCCTCTTGTCTCAGACAGACCCAAACCCTGCTGGGGGACCAGAACCGAGACCCGGACAGACGGAGCAGGACGGAACCAGAAGAGGAGTTCTGATCTGTGACCTGAGAGGGGACTGAGCAGGACCAGGACCAGGACCAGGGTCTGTGTTTGACAGGTTCAGGATTATTTCACAGTTCAGACCTCCAGAAGCCCGGTGGACCCAGGACTGACCCGGAGCCCACAGGACCCAGAACCAGGGTCTCAGGACTTGGGGTCTTTAAATGCAGGAGGACCTGGAGGACCACAGGGAGCCGGAATGGGTCGGTTCTGTCTGCTGCTGCAGCTGCTGGCAGCTCTGAGTGCAGGTGAGTCCAGACCGGGACCAGAACCAGCTGTGGTGGACCAACAGACCTCCTGTCCTGCAGGTTCTAGTCTCTGCAGCTTCTGGACCAGAACCGGTCCAGTTCAAGAACTAGAACAGAACAGCCCGAGGATCAGTTCCCTGTGGGTCCCGAACTGCCTGCTGGTTCTGCTGTCAGAGCTGGAGGTTCTGGTTCTGTTGAGCCGGGCTGTGCACGGAGGATCCCTCTGACTCACCTGAGGAGCTCCTGATGACGTCACTCTGAGGTTCTGGTCAGGGAAGTCCACGGGTCTGAAGGGCTCCTGCTCAGGAGCTGGACTCCAGGTCTACAGGGGTCCCAGATCGGTTCTGTTGGGTCAAAGAAAAAGATTTTTGGTCTGAAGCCAGAAAAGGTTCAGAAGTTAATTCAGTTCTGGTTCTGGTTCTGGTGGTCAGTGGTTTATAAAATAACTTTATAAAACTGTACCTCTGGTTCTGATCCGCTTCAGGACAGACCGATGTCTGCAGCAGGACCGGGTCTCGGGTCTCTTCTGTCCCAATCCTTTGTGGAGGCCCGGCGGGTCAGGGGTCAGATGTTTTGTCTGCAGCTCTTGGTTCTGACCCGGTCCAGTGATTGATGGCTCTGGTGGGTGGGGGTGTTAAAGATGGGAGGGGTGCAGATGGACCTGGTCTGGATGGATCCTGAGTGAGGGGGGTTCTGTTCAGGTCTCAGCTGGTCCGGTTCCAACTTCAAAGACTACATTACCCATAATGCTCTGCTGCAGCCGGGCAGCTGTTCCTGAAGGAATGT